TCTGTCTCTCTCTCTCTCTCTCTCTCTCTCTCTCAGACACAACACAGCATAGGTAAGATGTTTATTATGCAGTTTTCTGTCAATAACTTCAGGTCAGAATTCGGGGTTCCGCTTAAAGCTGTTGTTAGGGTTTCATTTGTTTGGGGTACACCGCATTTGTGTGCCTTTCTTGATTTCAAGAATATCTTTCGTCCCCAAATTTCAACTCAAAACAAGAACAAAGATCCTTCTTCTTGATTCTCTTTCTTTTTTTTTTTCCTGGAAACTTGTCTGATAAATCACTCTCGCTTTGCAGGATCATGTGGTAATTAATTAATAATTTAGGAGAAAAGCGGTGATAAGAGATTATAAGAAGATATGGGGAGGGGAAAGATTGTGATTCAAAGGATAGATAATGCGACAAGCAGACAAGTAACGTTCTCAAAGAGGAAAAATGGTCTGCTCAAGAAGGCGAGGGAGCTATCCATCCTTTGCGATGCTCAAGTCTGTGCCATAATCTTCTCCAGCTCTGGCAGGCTCCATGATTATGCGAGCTCTAGGTCACATTCTCTCTCTCTCTCTCTAGCTCTCTCTCTCGGTTTCTCTCTCTTAAATCTGGTATTTGTTGTGGGTCTTCTTCTTTTTACGCCAGTGTCAAGTCTGTGATTGAACGCTACAATAGAATGAGAGCAAAAGACATTGAACCGAATCACACTTCAGAAATCACGGTATGTATCTTCTCTCTCTCTCTCTCTATATATATATATATATATAGCATACATGCATGAATGACTGGAAGATGATAAAAAAAAAGTTATGGATTTGGAACAAAATTGTGAAAACCGCTCATCAAACCTCTCATGTTTCATATTGTATATGCCTTTATATCAGCAATTGAACAACGGTTTTTGGCTAGTTCCAGTTTTGGCAAAGGGAGGCAGAAAAACTAAGGGAACATATCAATCATCTGAATGAGTACAACAGGTACAGTTTGATTATAGTATCCAATAGCTTGCAAAACGAAGATTTTGTTGAGACATATATATGCATATGAATGTTCATACACAACATGTACATGGAGATGTCGTTACAGGAAACTCATGGGTGAAGAGATTTCTGGTCTGAGCGTCAATGATCTGAGGAATCTGGAAAACCAACTCGAACGCAGTTTGAAAAGCGTTCGCGCTAGAAAGGTCTTGCTGAAAGAAAGTGATATTGCGTTTATCGATTTTACTCATATGGTGACGGTGTGTGTATATATACACGTATATATATGTTGGCATCCTTGTTTTTTTTTCTGCGTGCAGGAGCAGCTTCTTGCTGATCAAATAAGAGTCTTGACCAACAAGGTTTGTGTTTGATCCCCACACACATTTGATGCAATTCTTGACGAGAAGATCATGGGAATCGAAATCTCTTATATTGAAATCGGTGCAGGTGAACCTTGTTTGTCAGGACAATCAAGAACTGCACAAGAAGGTTGTCCTAATCGGTCAAGAAAACAGAGATTTGAAGACAAAGGTAGGTTAACCAACCAGCCGACAAGTGTGTGTATATATATATATATATATGAATGAATGAAGGGTTTTGATTTAATTCTCAGGTCTATGAACTGTGGGATCCGAATGAATCTGATTGTGAGTGTAAGCCGGACAAATTAGGGTATAACCTAAACCTGCCCGTTCATCCTCAGTTGAGCCATGAGGAACTTTACTCTCAAGAAAGAGATCAAGAATCAGAATTATCCATGAAACTCAGGTAACATTATACGAACATACACACTACATGTATATTATATATTTATATATGTATATATATAATGTTGCTTAATTAATTCTAACAAGACTGCATTTTCTAAAATTTGATGACAACAGACTCCAGCTTGATTAGGAAACTCCAAATGATTCTGGACGGCAACCCACTTTACACTTGTCGACCTAACATATATATAGTGACAAAACGAAGAGAGAGCGATTTGTTTCAGACGACTTTTGTTTAAGAGGATACGATATATTCTCAGTACATTTATGTAAGGATACCATACTCGGTTACTATTCATCAACTAGGGCTTGAATTGGTGCATAAATTTATAAACTATTTGTGTTGTTTTATCGATTTTCTTTTGGTTCATGCTGCAGTTCATAATTTATCCAATGTAAACTGTGATATGCCACCTAAACTTAGATAGTTCAATCGGTGAAAAGGGAGTGCAAATCGTCTCTCCCATCCCGAATTTGAATTTCAAATTTGAAGAGGGAGCGTATATTCCAAATTATCCGGCTGACTCCTGATCTGGGATTAGTATAGACCTTTATCCAAGATACCCGGTTATAAAAAAAAACTGTGATTATGCCAAATCCGAAAGATGCCTCTTGATCTGACTAAGGTTCAAATTGATTGAACCATCTTTTAGTTTCACACATCTGAAAATATACGACATATATATAGATGCATCCAACCCTTTTGTTCTGATTTTCAGTGTCTTTAATCTGAGAAATGAAGAGTTTAAATTTGAAGCCGGAATCAAATTCACCTCAAAAGTTCAAATGTTAAATATTAGGGGCAGAAAAAGAAAGAACCAACATTTATTGGGGCGTATAGAATATTATATCATATTTAAGGGGGTTTAACATCATCGATGCCCGAACTTGGCCGTCGTTCAAAGATCCCAACCGCCGGCGATGGTTTTCCGGCGACTCAGTCGAAGAACCCTGCCGACATTTTCCGTCTCGCTAATACCTGTCAAAGCATTCACTTATCTTCAAAATCTAAACATTTTATCCAATCTTGTTGAATAAGACCACGAATCTTTTTACAATTCCAAACGCAAGAAATCTGACTTTTTTTTTTGCGAAAGATTGAACCTTTAATTTCGCTTTTTTTATATATATAAACACCACCCAATAGTATCATACGACTGGACAACCATCCACTGATATGCCTTCTGCGGTCGGACACTTGGCTAGGTTACAGTGTTCACCGTCAGTTCCCCACCAACTCAACCTAATGCCCTCCATTCCCAGCGTGAAATACAACAAGACCGCCATGAACGCAACTCCCGCGTCGAGGGCAGCTGACAGAACGTAGTTATACCTCTGCCACCACTGTTTCCTGTAGCGGAAGACGAAGAAATTGAACACGGTGCCCACCAGAATCCACGAGTTGTAGTTCACCGCAGTTGCAGGTGGCATCATGCTGGTTGCTCCGAGAAGAACTGGGAGGTTGATGAGTGGAATCCATGATTGGTTTGGGAATGATTTGTGTAACATCCAGACGATGATGGGTCCTAATGCACCTCCGACAAAGAACCAGTTCATGGCTGCGTAATTCCCTTGAGATCCGAAGATCCGTTTGGGTCCGACCAGTCCCCATATCACGGACGCGTCGAAGAAGACGCGGTCGCCTGGACATGTCCAAGGACTGTCCGGAGGGAGGAGATCTTCTTGGCATATGTTCTCGATAGAGCTCAACTGCCACCATGCAACTGATAGGTTTACAGTTCCGGCGAGAATTGTTCCGATGAACTGCGACACACACACACACAAAAAGATTGTCAGGTTTTAGCTTTTAATCCACAAGTATGGAATATTCAGACAGAAAACCAGACGTGCCTGAACTAAGAACATGGATCGAGGAGGGATCTTCATGTAATGCCCTAGCTTGAAATCGTTGAGGAAAGAAACAGCTTGAGCCATGCTCGTGTATCCATAAATCTTGAAACAAACATTTGCAATGGGTCTTCCCGGGTATATAATACCCATCGCATACTCGGTGATTATGTTCAGCCCCGGTGTCTGTATATGTATGAGATGTAAGCACTTAATATCCGACAAAAGTCTTTAACAGATCCAATGAACTGTTTCATCTACCTGGTTCGTTGTTGCAGTTATGATGCTGATAGGAAGGGTGAAGACGAAAGCCATGGCGCTAGCAAAGATCAGACCCCACCAAGGCATCTGGACCTGATCGTTCAAGAAAATACACAACGCTAACGAAACCAGAAGTGTTAGACCTAGCATGGAGTGAAACCACCACGAAGGTATGTCCTTGTATCTCCTCATGAGTCTTGTATGGACATCTTCCTTGCTCTTGTACGAAGCCCGGAATCTCTCGTATATCTCCCTGCGGATAATAGTTACGCCCGGAATCAGGCAATCTAATATACGTTTCTTGTACCACAAGAAATATCGATTTTCTCGGGTTATACCTTCCATAGAAGAAAGCTACGTGCGTGAGAGTAGACGCAATGGTGGCGAAACCAAACCCGTAAGTCAGAGAGAAGAACAGGCTCAAGTTTATCCTCCCTTGTTGCTGGTACTTGACAAGATCGAGCTCGAAATTCTCGTTAACCATGGCCGGAATGTCGTATTTCTGGCCGTCGGATGTGAAGAGAGTGGACGAGAATATGGGGAATCGTTTCGCATGGTAAGAGTCCATTCCCCAATAGGCTACAGGAACGATGACGTATAGTATGAGAGCGTATCCTATGAAAACGTTGGCGATGGCGAAGAAAGGGCTGATGAGGGGGCTGAACAAGAAAGATGCGACGGCGGTCCAGTCGAGTGTTATCGCTCCGAGCCCGAGTCCTCTCATTCCCGAGCCGAGCTGCTGAGCCGTGACCGATTTGGGAAATACCCAACAGATCCATGAAATGCTCGTGAGCGTGGAGAAAAGATAGCCAGGGACGAGGTACCAAGCGAAGCTGCAGATCAGTGCGATGACGAAGAACTTTGCCCTTGTCATCCTTTGTTCATCTTTCTCATGCAATGCCCTGTCGGATTCCGACCAGAATCAATTAAAAAAACACACAACAATATGCTTAATTAAACCGCCATTTTCTGAAAATTTCGATGGTTAAACACTTCATAATCACCCATTAATTGTTGTTTGGGGCTACAGACACGGGTGGACCCACCGGTTTAACGAGCATTAATTAGGATTAGACGTTTCGTTAATGTCACACAATGACGTAATTAAGAGTCTGCACGTATGTATTTTCCTCAACTTGAGCTTTTCTTTTTTTAGCCATTTGGGTATAAATAAATATGGACCCACCCAATTGAATGCGTACGTAGGCACGGAAAGACCGTCACGTCTACAGTATACTTGCTCTTACTCACGTTTAATGATTATATATACACGCTTACGTGTTATATTAAAATATACATTTGATACACCATTACTTTATTATTTCATTTTTTGCCGTTTTTCATGACCAAAGTCGGTCTCGAAGAATCAAATCTTCGTCTCTCTTTCTATTATCCGCCAGTTTTGTTCTTCTTCTTTTATTTGGGGTAGACCCATTTAAATTCTATTTATTTTTATGAAAATAAGGTAAGATATATATATATATGGGTTTTTTTTTCAATTAATAAGTAGTTACTGTAATTGTTAGAAACCAAAAGCGTACCGAAACAATGAAACTTGAACAAGAGTGCTGGGCCACCACATGTGAGCCGGTTCGACCACGTATTTCCTCAGCAACCCGGCCCACCCGTATCCCAACACCTATATACACACACTCACGCACATGTAAATGTAAATTGATAATACACCACGTGTTTAACTATTAAACGTATATATCCACTGATGTAATTAATGAGAAATTCAAATGCCATGTGCAAAACAAAAGATTTAAAATTTAGATATTTATCAAGATTGTAACGTCATCTTATTATATTGAAAATTGCTAATAATTTGGACATTATTTCTTTTGACCCTAAAAAGCCCGTCTATACCTTCAACCACAAGTTTGTCGGTATTGACTAAGATTATACAAATTCCAAATTTTGGGAAAGAAAATTTCGATTAACAAAATTCAAATTCGGCGACGGCCCAAAATTATAATTTGGAATTTCAGAATTTCACTTCAAAAGGAAAAACAACTCGCAAGAGGGTGAGCAGAAAGTTCCAAGCTTTACTTTCTGTCCCAACCAAAAAGTTCCATACTTTTAGATAACTCAAGATATTTTCTTCAGATAATTCACTCGAAAAATCAAGTTTTACGTTGATTTATTTTGTAATAATATAAAATCAAGAAACGTTTTCTTCAATTATTTTTTAAATAAAGAATTGAAAAAAGAAGTACCTGGGTAGTGATGATGAGGAGCCAAGCGGCGAGGAAAGAGATGTTTCGCCGGTAAAAGGCCTTGATGATGGTGACGATACTGACCGCAAAGGCCGAGCCGGACCCGAACGCACTCCCGGCATTGGCGAAGATGGAGATGAGAACATGCTCCTTCATGTTAAACGGGCCCGGGTTCAGCGTTAACCGGTTCGAACCGAACCCCGGTATCGTAAACCGGGTGGTGGGAAGCACCTTGGCCAAGAAGTGTCCCATGGGTAGAGTAGCCACCTGAACCGTGATTTGGGTAATGATGAGCGGTTCGGTCCGGTACGCGAAGAATTGGTTAAGGAAAGAGAGGAGGGCGCATGAGAGGAGCCCCAGAAACCACATCCGGAATGTCCAGACGGGTTGGGTCGGGTCGTCGGTGTTCGTCACCGTCAGACGGACTTGTTCCACCGGCGAAACGTCGTCGTCGTCTTCTTCTTCTTCTCCGCCGGAGACAACGGAGTTTCCGGCGATGGGTTTTTCCGGGTCGGAGGTTGCGGCGGTGGAGGTGCGTTGGAGCTCGAGAGCGGCCATTTCCCGGTGAAGTGGCGAGAGAGAGAGAGAGAGAGTTGACGCGTTGGATTCTTTTTTTTTTGGTGGTGAAGTGATTAAACTAAGAGTGTTTGACGATGAATCTTAGGTGAGACAGCCTCCTTGAATTATTGCTTTGTCTTGATTTCTATTATTATTTTAATTTTTTAAATATAAAAATTTAAAATTATTAGAATAAAATATACACAATTATGTATTTTTCGCCCTTCTTTCTAATTTATATATATCCATGGTATTTCTTTCGGAATAAAATATTGTGTTATTTGGTGGAAAAAACAACGAGTGTCTGCATTCTCTACTCTTATATCACTTTTTTTTATTGTTTTTGTCTTTTTCTCCTTTAAAAATAGAGATAGGAATCTTTTTTTTTTTGTATTTCTAAAATTTATACAAAAATAGTTGGAATCTATATAAGAGGGACTTATATTATAATCTATCCCTTTAAACCCGAAATTAACTATTACTATAACAAACAATACCGATCAATGGGCAAATGCATCGTCACTTATAATATCCGTGGACGGAACCTTTTGATATTGATAGTCAAATGGCTTTGTTTTCATTCGTCGATGCAGGAGAAAAATTAGGTCAATATTTATATTTTTTGGAATTATCAAATAATATATAAACTTAAAATATTAAATGGGCTGGCTTAGCCCAGCCCATTATGGTTCAGCCCGGAACTGACCCAATATTTGAAAACCCGACCCGAATGCAAAAAATGCTCCGTAAAAAAAGAATTAGAAAAAAGTTGGTTATGAATTGTATCATGCCACGTATCCAGCAGCTAAACTACGCGGCATGGCGGTTGGGAATAAGCATGCGGCGTCGTTTTTGGGTGGATGCGCTTTTATCTACGTCTAGAGTTTGCTTGCTTTCTCTAGACAGTTCGTCCCTGCATTTTCTCATTTTCCTGAGGACCGTTCAAAAACCCTAAACCCTAGCGATCACATTCTTTGCAGAATAAGCGATTTCTTTAGGAAGATTGCGAAGGAGGTTATCTGATTCGCCTATGGCTGCGGCAGCTCTTCTCCGCTCCATGCGACGCCGTGACGTCGTCTCTGCCCCTCTTTCCGTCTACAAATCCGTACGTTTTACTTTCCTTTTTTTCCCGTTAAAACTTGTTTTGTTGCCCGATCAATCGGCCGATCAACAAGCTCGGTTTCGTTTATTTTCGAGAGCCACCTTTTGTTTTGTGTCTATCTCGTGGATTTTTTTTTGTGGGAAATGATGTAGAATGGCACTTTTGGTGAGACGGTGACAGAAGGGGTTATGTATTGTGGGATATAGGACAATATGAGCGAGAAATTCGAGGTTTGATGATATGCGCCCTTAGTATTCTCATATGTATGCAAACGGATTTGATTAGCCCCTGATCAGTCAGCTGGTGTTCGTCCAGAAACAGGGGATCTCGCGAGATTTGTATTTCTGGTTGAAGAATGGAATTTTTGTCTTTTGTTGTCGCGGTGGAATGAATACTTCGCTAAATCTTCAGGACAAGTATAAGTTTGTGGATTTTATACGAATGTTACTATTGTGTTGAATATACCAGGGAAGCATTAGTTTGCTCTAACACTCATGATCCCTGTTGCAGCTGGCTATTAAGGGGAAACCGGCGTGGTACAGTTCTTATAATGGACAAGGCTTTGCGAGTTTTTGTAGAGTCTTCAGGTAGGATGATTTTTGTTTAACGCGATTCAGTTGTATATGGATTTCATTCATTTCCCCCCTCTTTACAGCTCGAAACCTGTTGCGAATGACATTGTTGGTATTGATTTGGGTACTACTAACTCATGCGTTGCTGTAATGGAGGGAAAGGTGAGATGTTTTTTGCATTGTTTTGATGTTTCATCTCTGTTTTAAACCTTTTTTATTATTGTGCTTATTCTTTGTTTTTGATGATGCTTTCCGCATCTCAGAACCCAAAAGTTATTGAGAATGCTGAAGGATCAAGGACAACGCCATCTGTCGTAGCATTCAACCAGAAAGGAGAGCTTCTAGTAGGCACACCAGCCAAGCGTCAAGCCGTCACCAACCCAACAAACACAGTATCTGGGACAAAACGTTTGATTGGTAGGAAATTCGATGATCCCCAGACGCAAAAAGAAATGAAGATGGTTCCCTTCAAGATCGTCCGTGCTCCAAATGGTGATGCGTGGGTCGAAGCTAATGGCCAGCAATACTCTCCTAGCCAAATTGGTGCATTTGTTCTTACAAAGATGAAAGAGACTGCAGAGGCTTACCTCGGGAAATCTGTTTCCAAGGCTGTTATCACTGTGCCAGCATATTTCAATGATGCTCAAAGACAGGCAACAAAAGATGCAGGTAGAATTGCTGGTCTTGATGTGGAGAGAATTATAAACGAACCCACAGCAGCTGCGCTTTCTTATGGTATGAACAACAAGGAGGGCCTGATTGCTGTTTTCGATCTTGGTGGAGGGACTTTCGATATTTCCATATTGGAGATCTCTAATGGAGTTTTTGAGGCATGTATCTTCAGCCAATCTGATGTTTTTTGCTTTGTTGCTTAAGAAATTTTAGCATCGTGCTTCTTATTTGTACTGTGAGTTTCTCATGCAGGTGAAAGCCACCAATGGTGACACTTTCTTGGGAGGGGAGGACTTTGATAATGAGCTCTTGCATTTCTTGGTGAACGAATTCAAGAGAACCGAGGGAATTGACTTATCCAAGGACAGACTTGCTTTGCAAAGGCTTCGGGAAGCAGCCGAAAAAGCGAAAATCGAACTCTCGTCCACCTCCCAAACCGATATCAATCTGCCTTTTATCACTGCCGATGCTTCTGGGGCGAAGCATTTTCACATTACCCTGACCAGATCAAAGTTTGAAACTCTGGTGAATCATTTGATCGAGAGGACTCGTGACCCATGCAAGAACTGTCTCAAGGATGCTGGTATAAGTGCCAAGGAGGTTGATGAAGTTCTTCTTGTTGGAGGAATGACTCGTGTCCCGAAGGTACAATCTGTTGTTTCTGAGATCTTCGGGAAGAGTCCGAGTAAAGGTGTCAATCCTGATGAGGCTGTTTCCATGGGAGCTGCAATCCAAGGTGGTATCCTTCGTGGTGATGTCAAGGAATTACTTCTTCTGGATGTTACACCTCTATCACTTGGTATTGAGACCCTTGGTGGAGTTTTCACCAGACTGATTAACCGGAACACAACAATTCCCACGAAGAAGAGTCAGGTAATGTCCTTACTATACTTGATGCAAAATTTTTGTTGTTACTGAATGAAAGCAGTTTAAGATCGTTTTTTTTTTACAGATTGCAAGTTTCTTTCGAGGCTTATCGGTTTAATGGGCGTACTGTCAATTACTGAACAGGTTTTCTCAACTGCTGCTGATAACCAAACACAAGTTGGCATCAAGGTGCTTCAAGGCGAGCGTGAAATGGCGTCTGACAACAAAATGTTAGGAGAATTCGAGCTCGTGGGCATTCCACCGTCCCCGAGAGGCATTCCCCAGATCGAAGTGACATTCGATATCGATGCAAATGGTATCGTGACCGTCTCGGCCAAGGACAAGGCAACGGGTAAAGAACAACAGATAACGATCCGTTCATCGGGAGGACTTTCGGAAGACGAGATACAGAAGATGGTCAGGGAAGCTGAACTGCACGCTCAGAAGGATAAGGAAAGGAAAGAACTAATCGACACCAGGAACTCGGCCGACACGACTATTTACAGCGTGGAGAAGAGTTTGGGCGAGTACAGAGACAAGATCCCGGCCGAGACCGCAAAGGAGATAGAGGATGCTGTTTCGGATCTGAGGAAAGCCATGTCAGGGGACGATGTAAACGAAATCAAATCGAAGATCGAGGGTGCTAACAAAGCCGTGTCTAAGATCGGAGAACACATGGCCGGCGGTGGCGGCGGCAGCGGTGGTTCTGGTGGGTCTCAGGGAGGCAGCGACCAGGCACCAGAGGCGGAGTACGAGGAGGTGAAGAAGTAGACATCGAGCTCTGTTTGGGAATGTATTACACGACAGTCGTTGTCTCCTCAGTTTGAGTTTGAGAGATAAGAGGCCGCTTTGTTTCATTGAACTTGGTACTTGAAGTTTGTCATATATGTCAAAAGCTTACGAGTTCCGGATTGTTGACTTGATTCAAGTAGTCTATAACCAGTATTGAACTGAAATTCCGATAACTGTGATCTGACCGAATAAAAATATTAGTGACTTTTTTTATTAATAAATAATCTAATCGAAGAAATGGCGATTGAGGAAAAACAAGAGAGGCCTAAGACGTGGGCACGGCAGAGAATAAGGGCCCAGTCCATCTCCCGTTACGGTTGTGGCCCAAACATTTGGATAGCTACAGAGTTTATAATTACGATTATGCCCTCTAATTTTTTTTTAATCATTTCCTTTCTTAGGGTTTGATTTCATCGAGATCCATTTTCCAGGACGATTGCAGAATAGAAGTTTGTTCGGATTCAGCGATGGCTACTGCTGCCCTTCTCCGCTCCCTACGACGCCACGATGTCGTCTCTGCTCCTCTTTTCGCTTTTAGATTGGTACGGTTTTTCGTTTGCTTCTTTTTACTCTCTAGCCCGATTTTTGGATGGGTCGACGACTGTCTGGAATTGAATCCATCAAGCGTCGTCTTCTTCGTTAAAATTTTCCATCTGGGTTCAGCTTGGGTTAGCGGAAAATTTTCATGAATCATTCGGGAGATGGTATATCTTTTGATCATTTTTCTCCTGTTTGTGTGTGCTTGTGCGTATCATTTATAGAACCGATATAACGATCTGGACTGATGGCTGCCTTGGTAATCGGGCTTCTGGTTGATCGGCGTAGGCTATATCTGACTATGGTGCGAGCATTGTTGGGTGGCCAAGAGGGCTAACTCTCTTTTACTTTATTTGTGTGGGCTCTTACATAATCATCATCACAGAATACAGCTAGTTTGGTAGTTAGATATGCATAGAGGTTAAAGTACGTTCTTTGTGTTGACCCTTTGTGACACATACTTGCAGCGGGCTGCCTTGGAAGAACCATCATTGGGAGCGAGTTTGTGTAGAGTCTTCAGGTAGTTTGCTGTTTGTTTTTTGGAATAGGATTACAAAGGATCATTATCTGGTTGCGTTTGATGTTAGTTTCCTCCTTTTACAGCTCAGGACCTGTCATAAATGACACTATCGGTACTGGTTTGGGTACTCATATCACAAGTGATGCCATTGGGGAAGGAAAGGTGAGGCAGTTTCTACGTTATTCAGATTGTTTTCTTGCTGATATATGTAAAGTGTGTTTATATTCCTAATTTATGCTTGTACTGGTGATCGCTGTCTCATTCTAGAGCCCAAAAGGTTTTGAGAATGCAGCAGGAGCTCGGATCACACCCTCTTTTGTAGGTTTCAGTGATCGACGAGAGCTTCTATTGGGTACGGCATCTTTTGGAACCAGACGCCTGTTTACTACGAAACCCGATACCCAGGAAGAGCAGCATTCCCCTAAAAGACAGAGCTTGCGCCCCTTATCTCCTCATCTTCCTGTCTACCAGCCTCAGATGAATTCCATGTTATCGATCTTCAACAGAATCTCTGCGGTATACCTGACTGGTGTTGTTCTAGCGGGCCACTTGGTTTACATGAAAATGGGCATGGTTTGCCTTACCTACCCGAGTTTCTACCAATTCCTTTTCCATACATCAAAGCTAATTCCGTTCTTCAAATCCCTCACCATCATAGCTGTGCTTTATCATGTTGTCCATGGAATTCATTCACTGATGACCCATGCGAAACCTTTCCCCAAACTCTTCCGATGGTCTTTGGCAGGGGAAGCAAATCTGCCGTTGTAACAAACACAACTGTGGAAATTAGGGTTCCAGAGACCGCTATGAAATTTGTGTACGGAGAGGGTGGCCAAAATCTGGAGCAACTGAGACAGGTAAGTCGTGTTTCATATATGATTTTCTTTTATTCTTTCTCTGGTTGCTTTATATAATCCTGCTGATTATTAGGTTGGTATACTATAGTTGCTGGACACAAGTGACATAGGTTTTTAGTTGCCACCACTTCCTGTAGTTCACTGAAACAAAACCCAAACATCAATTATTATGCTATCAACAGAAGAAATTAGGCAAGAAAACTGAAGTGAACACCTAGAAGGAAAAGACACCCATCATACATTTAACATACACCTCAACCAATGTGACCCCCTCCCTCTTCTGCACTGAAACTTAACTTCAGAAACTGAACAGTTAGATGTCATAAAGATTCTTCCTACAAGAATTTCATCAAAGTCCTTCATACCCCCCCCCCCTAAAACTCCAGAAAACTGAACAGTTTTAGAAATTGCAGGGAAATTTTCTTCAAAATGTTCTTTGAAGTACTTGTGTTTTTACTGCAATACAATCTGTTGAAAACTCCATGCTTTTTTGAAGATTTTATACCTTTTTTTTTGTTAATTAAAACAATCATCATAGTCCCTCTTTTTCCCTTTCAAAGTGTTGGAACTTGGTTTTCTTGTTTTCCTGCTCTTTTTTCACAAATATATATTATATAAAAAACAAACTTTCTTCCTCTTCCGATGAGCATCACTGACTGGGGTAAGGACTGTTCCCGTTGTTGGATTGGATTATGTTGGCTTTCAGACATTTCTTCTCATGTACCTGGTCGGTCTTTCGACGGGTTGATGTAATAAGATGCAAATGTACTCGTGCCCTTGTCTACTGAGGCCCTTTTGTTCAAAGCTTTTGTCACTTCGGCCTTCATTTTTCCAATAAAGTTTGTGCCTTTCTGTTAGCTGTGATGATTTTCTACTAGATGAGCATTTGAGGGTTCGGTTCGGTTATATTAAGATTGGGTTAATTCGGTTTTGGAATAATTAAAAATATTTTGTTTGGTTTGTTCAGTTTTATTTCGTTTTGAATTCAATTTAGTCTAGTTTTTTATTGATAAAATATTTATTTTTCATGGAAATTTCTGTTTTTTTCCTTAATTCTTTTGTATTTGATTTTGCTAACCTGACCACTAGCCTTGCCTTTTTTGCACTGTGGAAATATTTGGGCTCATTGAGCTTTAATAGGCCTTTTCTTAATTTTTGGTCTTATTGTAGGCCCAACTTTAAGAATGAAGTTGGGCCTCACTTGGGCTCTTAAATGAAAATTATTATTTATTGCATTTTTAATAACGATATAATTTAGGTAAGAGGGGAAAAATATTTTTTAAGTAATAAGAAGAGCAAAGCAAATAGACTTTGATTAAACCCTAAAACCTCGGCCGTGGCTCGAAGAAGCTATTGTACAACTCGGATTCCGCTCTAGGGTTTTTGGCCTCCAACACTTCTCTGCCAAATTCCCAAATCTTCTCTGCTTCATCTCCCAAAACATTTGATCTTTCGGATAGGGTTTCTGTTTCCTTCCTCAAGATTTGCAACATTGGTTCCAGCGAACGGATTTTGTACTCAGTGAGATCTTTTGGTTTCAATGGCTAGCAAGAAGAGAACCGGCGGCGAAGCATCGGAGGAAGTAGAGAACAATCCCGCTGATGTGCCGGCGAAAAAGAAACTGAAGAATGATAAGCGAAAGAGCCGGGAGATTTCTGATTCCGGCGACGCAAATTCTCCGGCGGCGGCTCCCCCCGGTGTTGCGAGCTCAGCCAAAGACATGGAGAAGAAGAAGAAGAGGAAAGCTTCAGACAAAGAAAGAAAACGCGCCGCTCTGGAGAAAGATGAAGGAGCTTCTGGGCCCGGAGCAGTGGTTGTCAACTCGAAAGCAGAGGAAGCTGATAAATATGTTGCTTCATCGTCTTCTTCGAGTGGAGGGTTGCCGGAGTTGCCTCTGAACTATTTCAGGGACTTGGCTTCAGCCGACGCAAGTGTGAGAAAAACAGCAGCCGAGTCTTTGCTGTTAAGGTTGCAAGAGATCCAGAAACAGTATGAGATGCTGCCTGATAAGGATTCTGTAAATGGAGGGTTGATGTTGGAAGCTGAAAAAAACGACGGGTTGGATGATTGTGCACCACATTTGAGATACACCATACGTAGGCTTATTCGTGGTGTGTCATCTTCGAGAGAGGTACGCGATTAGGCAACAATGGGCTCACATAGCTTGATCAGTTGATAGAAGAGAACAGCTTTAGCTTACTTTATCGATATTTGTTTAAAACCGGATAATGTCTTTACTTTGTGTGATCGAAGTATCGTGTTTGCTATGTTTTCTACAGTGTGCGAGGCAAGGGTTTGCCTTGGGCTTGACGTTGCCTGTCGGTCTAATTCCTAACATCAAGGTGGAGTCGCTGATGAAACTCATTGTTGATTCTTTGGCAGTATCTTCATCCATGAAGGGCCAAGTAGGTAGCAGTGTATTTCTTTTGATAGTTGATCCATTCCCGAGTTTGTATAGAGGCTCACAATCAGATTTGATGATAACAGGATGTAAAGGAATGCCTCTTGGGTCGACTCTTTGCTTATGGTGCAGTTGCACGGTCTGGAAGGCTGAGCAAAGATTGGGAATCTGATAAAGAAACTCCGATCATCATAGAATTTATAAATGCCATTATCTGTCTTGCTGCAAAGAAGCGATACCTGCAAGAGCCAGCTGTCCATGTTCTTCTAGACCTGGCTGGGAAGGTATAGTAAGCCTAACTTTTATATGCCAGCTCAAGCCATCTGAATCATGAAGGAAATCATTTTACAAGCTCCTTATGCTATTGTCCTGGCACTTAAACCCCAGGATTTGATATTTTTTTCTTATTGCAAAATGAACTCTATAATCTAAAGAAGTAAAATCTAGGTTATCGAATAATTTTTTGGGGCCTGCTTGCATTCTAAGATAGGTCGTCAAGGTACACATCTTTTAGGACCTTAGGGTATGGTATCACTTAATTTCCAAGAGCATTCATCTAGCAGCGGTGGAGGTCAGGTTACACGCTGCGAAGTCAAAACCTTATATAGGAATTCAAGCTGATTTGGGATTCTCTGTTTACGGTTATATGGATATGTATATATATCTATTCATACCAAGATGATCTGTGATATCTACATCTTGACTAGCTTTGTGATGTCATCTTATGACTGTAGTTACCTTCTGAAGCATTGTCGAATCATGTCATTGAAGCGCCAGAACTTCATAAATGGTTTGAGCAAGCTACTGAGGTTGGAAATCCAGATGCTTTGCTTTTAGCTCTTAAACTCCGTGAAAAGATTTCAGTTGAGCACCCTGTGTTTGGCAAGCTTCTACCTGTCCCTTTCAGCCCAGCGAAATTTTTTTCCGCGGATCATCTCTCATCAATCGCTAATTGCTTTAAGGTAGCATCCCATGCACTCTACAAAGAAAGGTTGGTGATAACTAATTAAAGTTTTTCTGAAATCATTCTTGTTTTGAACTTTCAGGAATCTACATTCTGTCAGCCTCGAGTTCATAGCTTATGGCATGTTGTTGTCGATATGCTATTACCGGAAACAGTTGTTCACAAAGAAGATGACACATCCCTTTCGAATCCCTCTAAAAAAGGAAAGCGAGTCCGCAAGTCCAGCCCCTTTGAAGAAGAAATGACAAAGAACATCCAGAATTTCTGCGAAATCATTATTGAAGGAACCCTTCTTTCTTCATCTCATGATCGTAAGCACTTGGCTTTTGACATTCTGCTTCTTCTTCTTCCAAGGCTTCCAGCAAGTTTTGTCCCGTCTGTTCTATCGTACAAATTTGTCCAGTGCCTCATGGATATACTTTCCACAAAGGACTCTTGGCTGCATAAAGTTGCCCTGCATTTTCGCGGGGTGTTGCTTGATTGGGTGAGAAATGATGATGCAAGAAGAGTAGCTGTTACAATGGCTTTTCAGAAACACAGTGATGGAAAATTCGACACTATTACACGGACAAAAACTATCAAAGAGTTAACTGCAGAGTTTGAAACGGAGGATGGTTGCACACTTTTCCTTCAGAACTTGATGAACTTGTTTGTGGATGAACAACGTTCTCCAGGGGAACCTTCAAATATGAAATGGGCCTTAGAACCTTGCTCCCTAAATTCAGATCAGAGTCAAACAACAGATGACAACTCAGAGATAGGTTCAAACGAGGAGAAGGACTCATTTGGGACAGCAGGAAATTCAGATCTTTTGAAAAGCTGGGTTATTGAATCTCTCCCTGGCATTTTAAAGCATGCCAAATTGGCTCCAGAGGCAAAATGTCGGTTGCAAAAGCAAATACTGAAATTCCTAGCTGTTCAAGGTCTATTTCGGGCTTCACTTGGTACTGAAGTTACGTCATTTGAGTTGCAGGAGAAATTCAAATGGCCCAAGACAGCTGCTCCTACTGCACTTTGCAAAATGTGTATCGAGCAGCTGCTGCTGTTGCTTTCGAATTCCCAAAAGGTCGAGGATTCACTGCCTAAGGAAAATGGCCTTGAGCCTGATGATCTCGGTTCATACTTCATGAAATTCCTTAGCACTTTACAAAATATTCCTTCTGTTTCTCTTTTCCGCTCCTTGAATGAAGCAGATGAGAAGGCCATCAAAGAATTGCAGGAAACAGAAAGCAAATTGTCGAGAGAGGTAATTTTCTTGCTTGCTTTGTTTTTGTCTGCCATTTTCTTTTCTGCGCATTCACATTTCGCATGACATGCTAGTTGTTTGATGTAGTTTAAATTTGTCCACATAAATTCTTACCATTGCTAAAACGGATACGGATGTTGGTGTAGCTTACATCTTGTTGCTTGTTAGGCGGTATTCCAGGATGAACTTTTCAAATTTTTGCTTACTGGGTGAATTTTATGTCTAACTTTTTGAGATATTTGAACCCTTTTTCCTCGTGTTGACAGGAAAGGAATTGTGGATTATCTGCTGATTCAAATAAGTTATATGCAATGAGACACTTAATTGTCCAATTACTGCTTCAAGTACTCCTCCATCCAGGGGAATTCTCTGAAGCTGCATATGAACTTACAATATGCTGTGACAAAGCTTTCAGTTTATCTGCTGGAGAAGGTGAGGCTGATGATGAAGCTCCAGAGGTAATTGATGTCCTTGTGGACACCTTACTTTCATTGTTGCCACAGTCCTCGGCTCCAATGCGATCTGCCATTGAGCAGGTGAGCTAACCTACTAGCAAGATTTTTTTCTTCTTCTTCTTTTTTTCCTTGAGCTTTATGATACTTCACGCAGACGGACTGCTCCTTTTTTGGATCTTCTAATTGTTATTGTTTGCCCTAACCCTTCCGATTGCGTGGTACATGCTTGCATTCCTTTATCCTGCGTGCAATCTGAAAACTTAATTGGGGAAGTACAAAATTTGCGAACAGTGGATTCTTTGCTATGACTCATTTTTAAAAAGATTCATCATGTTTGTTGTAGGTTTTCAAATACTTTTGCCAAGATGTAACTGACGATGGACTGCTGAGAATGTTACGAGTGATCAAGAAAGATCTCAAACCAGCTAGGCACCAAGAACCAGAATCCGAGGATCTTGATGAAGAAGACGAAGATTGTCTGGCGATTGAAGAGGAAGAGGAAGATATCGACGAGGCTGAAACAGGTGAGACGGGTGAGAGTGATGAGCAGACAGATGACTCTGAAACAGTAATTGGCATCCAAAAGGCCGACAAAGAAGAACTCCCAGAAAATTCGGATGATTCCGATTCTGATGAAGGAATGGATGATGATGCCATGTTCCGAATGGACACTTATCTTGCTCAGATATTCAAGGAGAAAAAGAATCAGGCCGGCGGTGAAACTGCTCAGTCCCAGCTTGTTCTATTTAAACTCCGTGTCCTCTCACTGCTCGAAATCTACCTCCATGAAAATCCAGGCAAGCGTGCATATTCTATCCTGTGTTTTGTCTTAGCTAACATGTTGATTTGATCCTAGTTAACTAAGATACTGTTTGGTAATGTGCCACAGGTCATGCACATGTTCTCACAGTTTACTCAAACTTAGCTCAGGCGCTTGTCAACCCGAACACTGCAGAAAGCAGTGAGCAACTCATGCAGCGTATATGGGGCATTGTCCAGAAGAGAATCTTCAAAGCAAAAGAATTTCCCAAGGATGATTCAGTCCAGTTACCCATTCTCGTCTCTTTGTTGGAGAAGAATCTGAAACTGGCTGCTAAACCGTTCAAGAGGAAAAAATCCGGGGCAGACTCATCAAAGAAGAAGCTGTCAGCTGCTCGGAACCGGTACAAGATGATCTCTAACCTCGCTCAGAACTCAACTTACTGGATCCTAAAGATCATTGACGCGAGAAAATTCTCGGAAAGCGAGCTGCAGAAGATTCTGGACATCTTCAAGAACGTGCTCGTCGGGTACTTTGACACCAAGAAATCACAAATCAAGATAGAGTTTCTGGAGGAAGTGTTTAGGAGGAGGCCATGGATCGGACACCATCTCTTTGGATTCCTTCTGGAGAAATGCGAAAGCGCAAAGATGGAATTCCGGAGGATTGAAGCGCTTGACCTGATCACCGAAACCATGAGGTCACTGGCTCGGGACGAACAACAAAGCGATCGAGAAGCGTCGAGCAAAGCGATGAAGACCCATCTGCAGAAACTGAGTCAGTTGATGAAAGCGATCGCGTCGAAGATGCCGGAGAAGCAAGCGAGGCGGTCTCAGGTGCGGAAGTCATTCCACAGAATCTTCCAGATGGTATCGAAGCTGAAGCTGACGAAGCAATTCCTCAAGAAACTGGGAGAGGATGGTCAGTCTGCTTGTGAATCTTCTTCGATCCGTGACCTGTTCCTGGAGTTCAGGAACACCGAGGAATAGGCCATGTCTGAAGGTGAACTTCACCTCCTGCTGCATCATTAACAATGGCTGCTCAGAGAGAGAGAGAGGAATTCATGCAGAACAGATCGTGGCAATTTTTGTTTTGTTTTTTTTATATATTCTTTTTCTGGCGAGGGCGACTGGTATGATCTGAAGAAGAACCGTGTAGGAGTTTTGGATTTTGTTTTAGTTCATTGGTTTAATCTTCCATTTTCCATTATCTTTTATGAAAATTTATCCTTTGTTGTCAGTTATTTCTGTTGTAAGTCATTCGTGATCATAATAATAATATTACTAATAATAATAGGGCAAATTGTATATTAATACATGGATCTCCACCTCGCCGGAGAATCTCCCCGGGATCTGGGCAATACCCGCGATTCCGGAGCTCTGGCTGTTAGCCCTGACACCAAGATCCTGCAAGTTTCACCGTTGTTTGGGATAATGATAAGCGCAGAACGTCCGTCTCTGTTTATAAATTTATAAGTTTATAACAATTGTAACATGGATGACATTAATAATAATAATAATAATAATAATAAGTTAAGTCTTGGCTAGGAACGCAGTTTTCTATGAAGGACCTAGGAGAAGCGGCCTATATTCTAGGAATAAAGATCTATAGAGATAGATCGAGGCGTCTTCTAGGACTGTGTCAGAGTACTTACATCGATAAGGTCTTGAAACGGTTCAAGATGCAAGATTCCAAGAAAGGAACCTTACCGATGAGCAGTGGCACAGTTCTCTGCAAGAGTCAGTGTCCTACGACACCTGATGAGCGAGAACGCATGGATAGGATTCCATATGCTTCGGCAATTGGATCCATCATGTATGCCATGCTTTGTACTCGACCGGATGTATCCTACGCGTTGAGCATTACGAGTAGATATCAGTCAGATCCAGGTGAGTCGCACTGGATCGCCGTCAAGAACATCCTGAAGTACTTGAGAAGGACTAAGGATGTGTTCTTGGTATACGGTGGGTCGGAAGACGAGCTCGCTGTAAGAGGTTACACCGATGCTAGTTTTCAGTCAGACCTGGATGACTATAGATCGCAGTCTGGCTATGTTTTATGCTTGAACGGAGGCGCTGTTAGCTGGAAGAGTTCCAAGCAAGCGACCGTTGCAGATTCTACTACAGAAGCTGAGTATATTGCTGCGTCGGACGCAGCAAAGGAAGTTGTTTGGATCAGAAAGTTTGTTGGTGACTTGGGTGTCATTCCGAGTGCTGATAGCCCCATTGCTCTGTATTGTGACAACAATGGAGCGATCGCACAAGCGAAAGAACCCAGATCCCATCAACGATCCAAACACATACTCAGAGAGAAGTGGAAGCATCGATGAGTCCTGGGTACGGAAAACGGACGGTACGAATTGCACGTGGATCGAAACGAATGGATCCGAAGCGGAATGAATTGTTCGAATCGAAACGAATGCAAACGGGACAAATCGATCGGAATAGAATAGAAACGAATCGAATTCTGTCGAAGGGATTTATTTATTTTTTGTTTGTAGCAACGGTGGACCGACGATATATAGGCGTCACGCCCCTCTCTACTCTATCTCTTTCAGAGTCTTCAGCGTCCTCTTCGCCACGAAGTTTCCTTGCTCATTATTCGCCACTCTAATCCATTGGTCGCTCCACGACATGACTCCCGAGCCTCTGTACCGACAACTCGGCGAAATTCCCCTTCAGTCCGGCCGCGATCTGGACGGACGACCAACGGGTGCGGAAGGGTCAACACTTTCTGCACGACAGAGTTTCCGTGCGGGTCCCGGGCAAGCGTCGAGACGTTCATGGCTACGACCTCGAAGAAACGGTCCCTCTGGTCGCCTCTCATCTCTTCAAGAAACTCGCATAGGGCGATGCAGCCTGTTTCTTGCGTTGCAAATCTCATTGTGAAGCGCACGGCCAAGGCGTACAGGATCTCCTTCTTGGATATTTCCACGACTCAGTGTGTCGAGATGATCACGCGGTGACCGTGCCTGCTGATCATTAGGTCGGAGAATTTGTCGCGGACCGCGAAAAAGATGAGGACGTCGACCTCTGCAGAGCGTCGGAGGAGCGACCGTATGGAGACTGAACCCGTCCGATGAGCCGCAAGGGCGAGGAAGGTGGCGTCAGCAGAATAAGCCATCGCGCTCTGCCTTGGAAATAATAATAATAATAATAATAATAATAATAATAATAATAATAATAATAATAATAATAATAATAATAATAATAATAATAATAATAATAATAATAATAATAATAATAATAATAATAATAATAATAATCTATTCTAGTTGTCATTTTACCGTAGAGAGTGAAAACAAAGTCTCACCAAACAAGATTTTACTGGGGTTTTTTTTTTTGGCAGAAAAGACAAAACACATGAAAAAAAACCCGACATCGAATTTCGTCTGACGACAGATTGGAAAACCCTACACACAAAAAAACAACAACGATATTGTCTCAATTCAAAGATCATTCTCGTGCGAAAGTGGAACTGTGTGTCCTAATCAACAGGGTATCTCTCTATCAATGGGTTGGGACTTGGGGATTTGTCATCATATCTATTGCCATGGGAGAAAAAAAAAATTTCTTTCAGATAAAAATATCTTGGCATTTCTTCAAACTCGATCAGACAAAAATTTATATGCGTTTTCGAAAGGAGCAAACAGATGCAATGATCCAACTATGATAATGGATAATCAAACACAATGATCTTTATATTTTGGTTGGATCCATGGCTCGATTGAACAATTCATGCAAACCCATTTCATGGAAACATCAAAGATTCAATTTTTTTTATGTCCAAAACAAAAAATAAAAAAGCTAAAAGCTTCATGAACACCTCAACGGATGACACACTACATTGATGGGGGACCAACCAAAGTTTCGGAATCAAGAACATTTTGCTGTCAAATTAGAACCTTAGAACAAAGATGAATACCAAACTATTCAAATTATTCATCAGACACCCAGACTCCGATTTCATCTAAAATTGCGTTATACATATATATATATATGTGTGTCGCCAGATAAGTTTGATACCGTTTACCTCGTCAAAGCTCATCCTCAGGTCGAATCTGAACTCTGTGACACTTTCGGCGCCATTGCCATGGCAACTTTTCCGTCCTGACCAGTCCTCACCTCGTTGATGCCACTAACGGGCACGCTGATCCCATGGTACTGCGGCTGCGGTGGAGCAAACATGGCTCCTCCCGGTGCAGTGTAGTACACTTGTTTCCCCATCCCCGATCCGTCGTAGGCCACCTGGGTATAACCCGCCGGATCATGTAACCCCATCGGCCCACTACCCACCACGGGCCGCGGCAGTGCGGCGGCGGAATATGGAGGCGGAGGTGCCTGTGTTCCTGCCGGTGGCTGCTGCGGAGGCGGCGGCTGAACCATGTTGTATGCCGGCTGCTCCCTATATGCATCCGGTGTCATCCTCTGCCCCTGACTGCACTGTCCGGTGGCCATCGGTCTCATGACGCCTGGCGGCGGTGCGTAGTATACAGTCCCCGGAGCTGGACCTTGTATCATGTACACCGGTCGCTCAGGTGGCCCCGGTGTGGTAGCCGGGAAGACGCTTTCTGGGATGTGATTCCCTTGCCAGAAACCCGCCGGAGCTGGAGGACTCGTCTGCTGCGGCAAGGTCGCTCTTCCCGGCAGCGGATTTTGGGCGAAGGCCGGTGGGAAGTATCCTCCGGTCTCTATGAGACCGTCCTTGCTCTTTCTCCTGTAAACAGCCTCCTGTTGTTGCTGAAGCAGCTGTTGTTGTTGTTGTTGCTGCTGCTGTTGCTCCTGATCCCTGATCTGCAGCCTCTGGAATTCCTGTAGCTGTCTCTGTATCTCCGCTGGATTCACGCCGTGATCCGGCGAGATCACGGGCTGATCGCTGATGATCGGAGCTTCAAGGGTTACAGACTCCGGCACCGCCTGACGGACCTTCACAGCTGGCGGCGGCGGTGGATGAGCTAATCCGTTCTCCGATCCAAACAGGAAATCCGCATTATTCGGAGGAGCTGTTACGGACTTCTCCGATTCCGGTCGACTCGGAACTGAGTTCAGCGCCTCAACGAACCGATCCCGATCCGATTTCGTGGAACCCTCGGAGCCAAACCCACCGGAATTAGAAGACGCCGGGAAGAGGAAAAGGCGCATCCTAGGAGGCTTAGAGGACATACGGATGAGCCGATCGTACTCGTGCATCATGTGCTCGAGATCGTCGTCGTTGGTCACTGAGATCAAGGCGTCCAGGTCTTCACCAGGTAACTGGTACTTGAACGTGACGTCGCCGCCGGCTTCTCCGCTGACGATGGCGGAGAGCTTTGAGACCATGGCGGGAAACCTGATTCCGCGGTCGACGGAGAGGATCTTCGTCTCGCCGCCGACATAAGTGAGCTGGTTATCATGCGGCCGCGGCTGGATCTTGCCGCCATAGCTGCACATGAACTTCACCTTGTAGCTCTGCGGCGGGGGCTGCTGCTGCTGGTCCTCCCATGGCGGCGGGTTGTCGAATTCGATCTCGCGAGATCGCGGCGACGAGTCGGCCGAATCGGGATACGAGTTGTACGAGAATTTCTCCATCTCGCGATATTTTGAGCCCTTTTCCCCCCCTTCAGTCCATGAGAGTAAAGCCAGGAAGAGACTTGCTGAGGAGAAATTGGAAAGAGATGGAGAGGACTAGGATCGTTTTATCATGGCGAAACGGTGGTGGCGTTGGAAATGATAATTTGACGGGGCAGTATACGTGGTACCATGACGACATCCATTGCTGAATGACACGTGGCATGTTAACAGTGGGGCGTAGAAGGTGAGATTGTGTGACGGCCTGTGACGATAGCAAAAACTCCTGGATCAGATGGACTTTTGGGCCACTACCGTGGGCCCAATTACTGTCTGATAGCGTGTTTGATCTGCGAGACGCCGTGGGTTGACTGGGACGTGATTTTAGTTAAAACAAATATTTTATTTCTCCTTCTACACTTGAAATTAAGGAAAACTCATTAATATAATATGGGTATATCTAGAAGCCAAGTGAAGAATATGGGCAGCACAAATTTCGGATTTTTTATATGTAAATTATTATTAGTCATTAGATTAATTATATATATGTTTATTATATATGTAGACGTGTTTACATTTAATTGAGCGGACGTACCGAAAATACAGGATAAACTATTATAATCCATCTTCAATAATTTGATATCAATCAATAGCCAGCTACTCATGCTAATAATTATTCGAAGTTATATCGTATTAATTACAAGCACGCCCAATTGTACAAATTATTTGTGGGCCCAAACCAGTTGGGCCGGATTATCTTTTGAGCCATATTAATCTATCGGCCTTAGGCCCTTAACGGAGAATTTAAGTCAACCATCCTTCAACTTTATGAATATTAACAAATAAAGCATTCGATTTGAAGATTTCACATGCTCAGCCTAGAAATTCGAAACCCATCTTGCTTTTCTTTGCAATCGAGGGTGTTTTCATCACTGGGGAAACATGGGGGGCATAAAGTCTAAATATATCAAAATATGGGTGCCAGAAATGTGATATAGCTGATAAGGAGCGGTAAATTTGTCAAATCAGATAAAGTAAGCCGTTGGGGATAGCAGTGATCGCGGTGAAGATACGACGACTGAGTCCAGTAGAGCGTTTGAAGCCTTTATTGAAGTCTTCAACAACTTCAACGCTCACTCCGCCGACTTCTTCAAAGCCTCCATTGGAGCAAATTTCTGCTTCATCGGCTGATCCTTTGAACAAGAATTTCGTCTCAGGTTTTGTTGTTTTCTGTTTCGGCTGATCCTTTTTTTTTTCTAACAGGTTCGAGATTCAAATTTCTCTTGATCGACCTTCGCTTTGCCTGTGTTTTCTCTGGATTTTGAGTTTTCTGAGAAGTCATTGCGAATCTGTTTGCGTTTTGGTGGTTGCTTTCGATTTCTCCGATTTGTTTTCGTGTTTTTCTCCTTCTCGGGTATTCATCAGTTTTGTGACGCGTGATTTTTACTGCTAATTTGTTCTAATATTCGGGGATTCGCTAGTTTCATGGCGTTTTGTTTTCCTATCTCTGATGCTATTCGCTTCATGGCGTTCATTTTCCCATTCTCTGATGCTATCTGCTATTTATTCTTTTCAAGGCTGATTTTTGTTTTTAATAAAAAAATCTGTACGTTTTCTAGATATTATTTGTTCGTCTTCTTAATCTCTTTGTTTTGTAAATATATGCAGATGGGTAAGAAGCATGTTATGCTGCCGGCGAATCAGGTGGATGTATCTGTTGTCAAATATGATACGGAAGACATCAAAGGTTTCAGTTATTTGATTTAGAGAACTCTGTGCACAGAATACGTGTTTGAATTGGTGTGTTTAATTTGAGTATGAATTTAGTGAGAATTGTTCTTCTGAATTGATTCTCAATTTTGGGTGCTTTTTCTTTTTTTGCAGCTCCTCATTTGACTGGGTTTGCATTTAAGTTGTTCGTTAAGATGCTCGAAGCTCCATTTATTGGTCCGTTGATTGTGGCTTCTTTTAAAAAGAATAATGGCATGACTGAGGTCCGTACCGTTCAGACAGATTTCACGTTCTTTTGCCATTTTTCTATCGTTCTTCGGTGTTATTGTTCACTATTGTTTGATGAGATGGTTCTCTGTTTTGCCTGTTGTGTCACCCACAGATGTTCCGGAATAGAGTGATACCTGAAGCGCCCATGTTTAAGCCAGAATTTCCATCCCAAGGTTTAATCTTCTTCTTTTGCATCCTCCACGTCATGTTTACTAGCATGGAAGATTATGTAAGCTTATCTCATTCTCGAATCACGGTTTATCCTGAAATATTGCAATACTTTTTATTTGACTAGATCCGGAGCTTGGTGTTTTCACTTTGGGCGAAGATGCAAGTCCTATAGATAGAGTGGAAACAGCCTTAAAGTGTCTTCCTCGTTCTGATCCTTCTAGTGGCGTGACTGCAGATCCTAGTTCTTCCTTCCGGTACTGGAAAATACGTGATTTTGCATATGCTTATCGCTCTAAGCTTACAACTCCATCTAAGGTCGGTCATTTTAGTTTTTATCTTTTACCATATTCTCCTTTTGGCACAAACAAGCACTCTTCTTGTTGATCTTTTAGGTAGCAGAACAAATAATCACGGTCATTGAGGAGTTTAGGTATGACAGATCTCCAACTCCATTATTCGTTACTTTTGATCCCAATGAACTCCGAAAACAGGCTGCAGCTTCTACTCAGAGGTTTGAAGAAGGTAATTACTATACAATTCAGGGCTATTCTTGATCTTAGATCATCAGGGAAGAGCTATTTCTTATATTTGTTTGACTTGTTCGCTTTAGAGAGATCAAGGCATGATCATAGAGATTCACACTATCGTATTTGGTGTGAGCTGTGTAGGAAATCCATTATCTGTCTTGGATGGAATTTTTGTGGCAATTAAGGATGACATTGATTGCTTCCCTCATCCAACAAAGGGTGAGCACATCATCCTCGCACATTCGATCTAACTTTTTTCCAGTTACAGCAGAGTTATTATAGAATTAATAATAATAGGTGGAACAACATGGATGCATGAGGTCCGCTCTGTTGAAAAGGATGCAGTTCCTGTTTCAAGATTGCGCAGTTGTGGTGCAATCTTCCTTGGCAAGACAAATATGCATGAACTAGGCATGGGAACCACGGGGAACAATTCGAATTATGGGTAAGCTATACAACAAAAGCATACACACACATCTATTTATATGAAATATCAACAAAGGGAAACATCCACATGTATTTGTATGAAAATTTTTCAGTCTGGTTCATCTCATGCTTAATAGCCGACTTGGGGTTAGACATAGGACTGTAGTTGGTGCTCATTTACTAAGACGTGTTTCTTCGGCCTTTCGTTTGCTTTGATTGCTTGCATCATGTATTTTCTGACAATTTTATTTCTTTTTGGTATGTTGCATTGCAGAACCACAAGAAACCCACACGCACCTGACAGGTACACTGGTGGATCATCCTCAGGGTCAGCAGCTATTGTAGCCTCGGGACTATGTTCTGCTGCTCTTGGAACAGACGGCGGAGGTATTCTGAGTTGCTTTGTTGTGCTTGATACCGTTTGCGACCTGCAAATCCTAGGATTTCACTCTCTGGTTGGAAATACAGGTTCAGTACGCATCCCTGCATCACTTTGTGGTGTAGTGGGATTGAAAACGACATATGGTCAGACGGATATGAAAGGGTAAGAAACAAATAACGGAAATCATTATGGTTTGGAAGATCCGTTGATGCTTGATAAGGAAATGTATTATTTGATTTACCTTTCTATTTTCAATAGAATCTTTCTTCCACTGCTAGTAAATTCCATACCATTGGTCTTGATTGTATACGTTGTATTACAACTGGACTACTAAATTTTTTGAAAGTATGAGATACAAAAGGATTGACTTCATCATTCAAGGCCAATCTTATATGATATTTTAGTGATGCAGGAGTTAAGAGAATGTTCTGAAATTGTTTATGTATTGGATAAAAAATTGTTCAATTTCTTCTTCTGCTCTGTTTTCACAGGTCATTATGTGAAGGTGGAACCGTGGCAATAATTGGTCCCATTACATCATGTCTGGAAGATGCCATACTGGTGTAAGTAACTCTTGGCCATGAACAGCATGTGCAACTATCAGTAGATGTAATGCAAGCAATTACATTTGCCACCAAGCAGAAAAAAAAGTCATTTAGTTTTATTGTTACTAATAAATTTGCAAGTCTTTGGCATTTTTGCAAAACAAATCATGGAGCCATCTAAAATAATAATCAAGTTTGAAGCCCATCTAGGCATTATCTCTTTAAGATGTGTTGTCTTTAGATTAAGTTTTTTCCAACTTGCACAAGTAATCTGGGTTGATATGTCTTTTCAGGTATGCAGCAATTTTGGGTTCTTCTGCTGCTACCAAAATCTCCTTGAACCCGGTAACCGTTTTCAACTTTCACATGTTCTGATCACCACATTCAAAATCTAGTCTTAATTGGTAGATGGTTCTCCGCTTATAAATAACTGTGCTTATGTTCGAGACAAAATGCTACTTTCAGACTATTTGCCGCTAATATAAATGAAAGATGACCAAAAATAACGGTGAAGTTTTTTAAATGTTACTCGAGCCTTGTCACATTGCCAATATGATGCTAATCGTTTGCCATACGTTTGATTAGATTATCTGCAGAAATAAATTCACGATTTTTGTTGCTAAATGCTGCTTCATGATCTGGTTCTTGCAATTTATTTTGTAGCCTCCTCCCAGTTTGCCAAACTCATTGACAGACAAAGGGGAGGATACTATAGGATCTATACGACTTGGGAAGTACACAAAGGTGAACATTTTATGCATGTCAGTTGAATTGGGTTGCACTTTACCAATTCAGCGGCTTAAGTAGCGTTTTGTTTTCTGCCCTGCAGTGGTTTAATGATGTTCATTCAAACGACATCTCAGACAAATGCGAAGAAATTCTTACACTGCTATCGAAAAGTCATGGTTGTGAAGTGAGTCAAAATCATTCTAATATATATCTTTTCTTTTGGAAATACTTTGTAATGAAATATCAAGCAATATGACACCATTATCTACAATTTTCGGCATGGCCACAGTTGGTGGAGATAGTAGTACCTGAACTGGAAGAGATGCGAGCTGCCCACCTTGTTTCCATTGGGTCTGAAACAATGTCTTCTCTTACTCCTCACTGTGAAGATGGGTAAGCCTTAAACCATTTCATTATTAAAATAGTAGTTTTCATATATTATCTGTCTCATAAGAGGGCCCTTCTCTCTCATATTTTAAGGAGAATATCAAACCTGTGGTCTATGACATTCTCCTTTTGTCTGACAGGAAAAATTCAAAACTAAATTATGATACCCGTACCAGCTTCACGATTTTCCGGTCATTCTCTGCTTCAGATTACGTCACTGCACAATGTTTTAGGTGAATGGCCATCATCAAGTTCAAACCTTTCAGTTTTCCTTTCCATTTGGAGGTCCAGTTTATGGATGCTTGAGAAGTTTTTTTTTCACAGATTGAAAATGGAGGATGAGATGAAATAGTAACAGGCTGGTAACCTAGATTGTTACTGAATGCGGACGCCTGATTCTTGTTCTTAGCGCTTTAAAGCAAAGATATACATCATTTTCTTAATATCAGAACTAATTTGCAATTCTGCGTTTCAGGCGAAGATTGATGTACTATCACATGGAGATATTCAAAAAAGTCGATGTCATTGTGACCCCCACAACTGGGTAAGTATGCTAAAACATTTCAAGAACAGAATCTCCAATTTATTTAGCCTATGAAATGCATAGTATTTTAAACCAAAGAAAGCAGAGATTACATGTGATTCTGCCCAGAACCCGTTCACACGCACACATACACACAAAGCATGCATATGCTTTCTAAGGTGTTTATGTGATCTCATGTCTGTTTACGTGCGAGAATTTATACATGATTCAATAAACGATCTTTAATTGTGTTTTCATCTCATGATAAAAACTGTCCTTGTAAAACAGAATGACTGCACCCGTAATTCCACCCGAGGCGCTCAAATCCGGGGAAACAAATATGCAAGTGTCAGGTTTGCCAATCAAACTCTCTGGAAGTTTTGTCCTTGGTCTAACACGTTTTTCGGTCATGACGAATAAATTATCTAGCTGAATATATAAATATCTCACTGGAAAAAACACCCTCATTTGAGATGCCTCCAGATAATCTCTTGCCAATACTACTGCTTCAACTTCTGATGGTTAGCTTATTTCCTTCTTCTTTTTTTCCCAGCTTATCTCATGCGATTTGTTCAGGCAGCAAATCTGCTTGGCTTCCCGGCTATCTCAGTTCCCGTAAGTTTTCTGTTTCTCCGAATTGTATAGTTTACTGTAACAAAAAAAATGGCAATCTTAGGGCTCAGCTCTATAGGTGAGGACCAAACTAGGAAAGTTCGACCAATAAATACGTAGACTTATCATTTAAGAATCTTTGTTGTACTCCGAGAAGAAAACAAATCGCAGCAAAGAGCTGGTTACCTATGGTACTGTAATGTTATTATTCACCATAAGTAATCTTTTTTTGTATATATATGCAGGTAGGGTATGATAAAGAGGGACTTCCCATTGGATTACAAATAATGGGGAGACCATGGGCTGAGTCCACTATCCTCCGCTTAGCTGCCGCCGTAGAGGTACCTCTCTCTCTCTCTCTCCCCCCGTCTTTTGGCACATTAATGGTACAAATCATATATTATCCATATATAAAACGAGAGAGGTTTTGTAAGTATATCTTGCGTTGATATGAAATATATTTGGTTGTGTTTACTATTATCTGATATATGGTTATAATTATTGACATTCCCAGGAGCTGGCTCCAAATAAGAAGAGGCCTGCTTTGTTTCATGATATTCTCAAGACGGACTGAGCCCCAAACCGCCGACCTTACGCACAAACAATTCATTGTCAACGGTCCAAAGGTGGAAATTCTTTCTTCCCATGAATATGTCACATAATCAATGACCGATTTGGGTATCACAACCAGTAATGGATAACGAAAACTAAAGTTTTTTTGAGAAATAAGAAACGCGTTCTGGTGGCTCGAACTTGGTACGAATTACTTTGGACCGAGTCGTATAAGCTCAAATTCACCTGGAGAAAGGGCATAGTGCATACCATCCAAAAAGAGAAAAACAAAACACCCGAGAATGATTGACGGTTTAGGATAAATGGTTTGGAATGGGTACTTTAATGGTCGTGTAGTTACGAAGCAGGGTCGGATTCATTCCCCTCTAGTTTCACGTCTTCCGCATCGCTGGGTAGGTCAGGCCCCTCGGGTATCTTTCCTGGATAGTTCGTTGTCGACGGATCCGATCCCACCATACTGCAAAACATATAATATTAGAGTAAACGCTTCATATCGGAAACCGAAAACGCAAGCAAGCTCGCCCGCTCGCTCACTCACCTTCTGTCCACTAGAGCCATTGAACGGAGCTCACAATTCGCAAAGCTGAAAAATTACCAAAAAAAATCACCATTGTGAAAGCTTCAATGTGAAAAAGAAACGGATTGATCAAAAGCAGCTATGGAGGATGCTTATTACTGTTTGCTTATCTCCTTCTTCACGTCTGGGTGGCAGTCGTTCCCGTACGCTTTCAAAGTGTGAAACAAGAAACCGCTGTGTGTAACTATCGCAATCTCTTTCTCTTCCCTTGTCCACAGCCTGCCGATGTCCACAGAGTCGACAGGAACCAATGAATCGAAACTAGCCATGTATGTTTCTGGCACTTGAAAAAATTGTCTAAACAAGATTACCAGTTCAGGAATCTGGTTCCCCTGGCTGCAAGTTCTTCAGTCGTCTCTCTAATGTCAGCCTTCCATAACTTGTCTTCATCAGTCTCTATCTGAGCGTAAAAGCAATGAGTCATTTTTTTGTCTTTCTTAGAATTTTTCCCCTAATTTGATAAATTGAGCATCTAAGACTTGCCAGTGAAAAGTCAACTGCAGGAAAAAGAAACTGATACTCGCCGATGCTTCTCCTCTGATCACACGGATGGACTCCCTGAATCCAGAATAACGGATTATAGAAAAGGGAGAAACACAATCTAGGATTTATATATATACACACATATATATACCGGGAAACAGAATCTAGGAATGGTGGATAAATCATGCAGTGAAATACAGGTGCTTAAATTAAACTTCAAGCAACCCATGAAACAGAGATTTATAGTGACCCTGTAAAGGATGTATTATATATCACGTCAGAAAATACATACCAAATGTTCCCTGCAGGACTCTACGGCAACAATGGGTGGGCAGTTTAAACTTGAGATCGCAGCACGGCTGCTATTTCCTGCATTTGCTACCATTAGAGGTACTACATCACTGATATTTGTGTAGCCATCTCCACCAAAAACACCGACAGCAGTTTGAATTGTTCTGCATGTCACGTAGAATAATCATTTGACATGAGAGAATACTGACGAATTAACGGTTAAATAAACCCGAAGAATAATCTATATTAAGTTTGTCGTTTAAAAATCAGAAGTGCATTTTGCAAGAACGAGTTGCAGTATGCCGTCTTGGAAGGTCATGAGTTTATTAAATCTCCCTAAATCGACAAATTATGAGCCAGAAGGTCATGTTAGGCTATCCATCCGGCTAAAACTGTTAGCAAGCCATGGAGGACAAACAATATGAAATATTTAAGGTGTCAGGTAGGAGACCGAAGCTGATAGCTAGCCACAGGAAAAAAGATATCAAATATGGATTGAATTCAGCCACAGGAAAACCATATGGCATAAGTGAGACTTTCTGAAAAGCCAAGCAGCTGAAGGCAGTCATGATTGCATGTGTTTAAGGTAATTACACACAGATGGAGTACCTCATTAGTGGGGACGTGATGACCAATTCAATCCTCTTGTGAAGTCCACTAGCACGGACATGCTTGCGCAGATTATCAACCTATCACAATGAAAAGAAAAATCTATTCAAGAATTTTTGTAGAAAACTGGAACTTATTTACCATCTGCAAAAGAGCTGCAAATGCAGCTCTCTTACCTGTTGCCATCCAAGTGGGGTCAATTCTGCATCAAAGTACTCAGGAGACATATATGCCTTATAATTCTTCTCCCCGTCAACATTGTGGATCCCCTGCGCATGTCTCACCTGAAAGAAGAGTAAACTATGACAACAAGATACCTAGCAATAGCTGTTACAAGAACATCATGGCAGATATTTCCAAGCACACATACGTAATCTTGAATCAACAAGGAGCATTGGTATTCACCAGGTGAATGGTTTTGCAGCGATGCAAGGGGTACAGACCTACGCAGGCACCACTCTCCATATCTGCCGCTGGACCAAACAAGAATTCAATAAGAGACAAAAAGAGCATCCACAACATGTTAAAGAGATGAAAATTCTTGAAGCAGTAGAAAAAACGCATTTTGCTAAATGAGAAGTTCAACACTGTATTGAAATAGCATTTAGTTTTAGATCCACCCCACTAAAATGCAAGCGAACTTGACATAGTTGAAGCTGATCCAAATGACCCCATGATTCAGAAAGATTAATCAAAGAAGATATTGGTTACAACAAATAACCCCACTCCAGCACAATTTCTTTCCTGCCCTCTATGTCCGTCAGATTTCTTGAACTTGGTCAATTGAGTTTTGCAATCTAATTTACACCCCGTTACTTACTGCCTTAAATTGGATCTCCCAGTCAAAGTTAAAACAGAAACTGAGTTCACGCCTCAAACTACAAGCTCACACATTTGAATAAAAGGTTTCTTGGTTAATGATTATTGGGTGTTTGTACCAGACACCCAAAGGGTGCAAAAGAAGTCAACTCCAAATATGAATAAGAGACAGGACATGTTTGCACCATCAAACCTAGAAGAATCTCAAACACTCTAGCCAAGACCCCATTACAGAAGATCCTATCGACACAATGCGCTCATCCACCAAAAAATATAATAGTCAAGGACCAATTCTCCGCAAAACAAGAGAACTAATCATGTAATGTACCGAATAAGAACAATCATCATCACACGAATCGACCAGAAATCAACCACAGATTTCCATCAGTTTTCCAGAACTCGGGACGATAGAAACGACGAAGGGAGGGAAAAATGGAACAACGAAGATCAAGTAGAAAAACAGGTCGACAAGAATCCTAACAGATCTTTACGCCAACACAAGAAATGAGCTGAATCTAACCTAGAATGACGCAATCGAATAAGAAAACCACTGTAAAGAACGAGAGCGACGACGCAAGAAAAATGGAAGCGCGTATGTATGATTACCGACCAATTTGCTCGAAAGGAAGCATCAAATCCGAAATCGAATGTCGTACTGTTCATACACGCGCAGATACATATCGCATACACAATCATATACACGTAGTTACGCATGTATCGACTCCATATTGACTTACAAAGAGATTCGACGAGATTCGCTTACCAGAGAGAGAAGACGTGAACCAGAGACGGGGAGAGAGAGAGAGAAGAAAAAGATTGACGAGGCTTGTTTATAAATTTATCTTTCCACCCGCATCTATATATATTATATATTGTATACATACATTGTATCCCATGCAGCTTCCAAAGAAAAGGGTCAAAAAAATATCAAAATTTGTTTTTTAGTTAATTTCCAAATGCTAATAATCAAAATTTTAATCTCGTCCATTGATTGTTGGATTAGTCTTAGTTTTAAAGGATAATTATGTATTAATTGACATAAGTAACACTAACACTAATTATTAATTGAGTGATGATATATTTAATCACTTTGAGATTGTGGAAGGAAGCTTCTATGGGTCCGCTTTGCATATGCCGACACATACAAATGAAGACAAACCATAATACATTTGAACCATTCAATGTAACTATTCATATATCCACATTCCTATCTGTATAAAAGCAAGTCTTTTCCTCAGGAACTTTCCATAGAATTCAGGATCCCAAATTATGAAATCTGATTTACATCACCCGTAGGATCACCAAATGCTTATGATTAGAGTTACAAGTTCTTCTTCTTCTGGGCACTTAGTACACAGACCAAGTCTTGAATCCAATAGAGAATGTGGCTGAACAATCTGCACAATAGATCATTGTTCTCAGCTCTTTACCCAGACTGAAAAAGATGGGTAAATGAATAATAGGTTTTACCATTTACATAGCCAGATTTAGATGGATGATGTACCCGAGATAAGTCGTTATGATGGCTTGCATTCCAAGAACGAGTTGCAGTATGCCGTCTTGGAAGGTCATGAGTTTATTAAATCTCCCTAAATCGACAAATTATGAGCCAGAAGGTCATGTTAGGCTATCCATCCGGCTAAAACTGTTAGCAAGCCATGGAGGACAAACAATATGAAATATTTAAGGTGTCAGGTAGGAGACCGAAGCTGATAGCTC